GAGAATAATGTAGTTCCTTGGGTTATAGACTGAACGGAAAGATTTGTATGAGCCAGAAACACATTTTTTGATCAAGTTTTAGATTTATAATTTTTTTGGAAACGTGCAGTACAGTGTGAGGGCTCACAGAGATGGTTATTCGGGCAGTGTGCTGCACAGGCTTTATTCAGGACAGCAAATTCCATGCTTTAGAACACACATTTTTGTCCTTTTCTGTGTGCACTTGAAACAGAAGAAGAAAAAAAGTGGCGCAGTCCTTCTGATAGTGCTGGCTAATGGGGACACGAGGGCCTCTCAGCATTATGGCACTGGAAAGTTAGGAGAGATTTTTCACAGCTGCTTTTTGAAAAGGGGAAGAAAAAAGGCAGCCAATCCAATGCAGAAAAAATGTGAGAAAGGCCGATGTTCGTAGTTTAAAATAGCCCCAGAAAGCAATTACTCTTCTTGTGGGAAGTGCAGGATTCCTGGGTACTTCTTAAGCCTGTCCTGCAGGTACAAATGCGCCTTTGAAAGTTCAGCCTGCTCACCGAGTCCTGCTGAGAGCTCTGTTTTCTCTCCCAAGCTTTGTTGGTATCTGCAGCTCGTCTGTGCGAGCAGCGCCAGACTGCAGCAAAGAAAAGTTGACATTGCAACTTGGAAGCAAGCCCTTCTTCTCTTCAAGACACAAGGGGCTTGCTTTTTGCAGATAAGGTGAGCACCTCTGGCACCAACAGTACCCTCGGGGTAAAATCAACATATGCCAGACACAGAATGTGAGGAAAGGATGTGACAGCAAAGGGAAAACGCTATGGGATGTCAGCGCGTGTTGGCGGTGAGCAGAGGGCCTCTCTGTCCTTCTGTGTCCACAGGAACCTGGCTGTTACTTTGAGCATGTTCCCTGTGCTCTCACTTCAGCTTTGTATTCTAGGTATTAATTTTTCAAAGCTCCTGGGCTGAGGAGCAGGAAAGGATGCTCATTCCACGTATCTCTGCTAACTCTTTGCTCCTTGCTGCTGACCAAAGCACGAGTGATAGGGCAGAGGTTTTGTGATGTTTCCAGGTGAGTGTTAGCCCATGTGTGCTTCTGTAACAGAGGAAAAAAGAAAGGAGAAAGAAAACACCTGTGTTTGCTGCTTAGGAGAACATTTTAACACTTGGAATAACCACCTGTGTAGGTCTGCATGCATTAGAGGAAATTTCTGCACAGGCTTTGCTTAGGAGCAGGGACTGACCCTGAGTGGGAGTGCTCCACATATACTGAGGGTTTCTCATTGAGTAATTCTGTCCTTCACGTGACACCTCTCTACCTTATGATCTCCTGCTTTCAAATGAACACACCATATGGAGCTCCAGCCTGCACGGAAATCTTTCCAAATCCGGGGAAATGCCCTTTATGCCACAGTTTGACTTTCTACTCCAGAAACTCCCATCAAAGTAAAAAAAACAACAACCCACAACTACTGCAACACATGGATCTTTTTTTTTGGATTAGACTCCATGGTCCAGACTTTAAAACTGAGCCCAGCCAAGATGTTAAAGATGCTTACAGATTTTTGTTCCCCCCCCAGCCCTGCTGTGCCCCTTGTCAGTCCGTGGGCAGCACCACCAGCTGTGGGAGCTCCGGCACAGCCCTGCTCTGTCCTCAGCAGTGCAGGAGCCTGGGGTGCAGGGAACCAAGGCTCTGACTGAGAAGAAAAGTACCTTGTGGTGTGTGTGCAGATACTAATGACTAAAGGCTTTTCCTTTGAGGGCTTGCAGAGGAATACCTTGCTAAGGTACACTTTTATAAGCTTTAAACCATTTTTGGCACTTGTGATAATCACAAGATCCAAAAAACCGAAGGCAGAAAATTGTCTTTTTCTGGGAAAGAGCACTGTTAATATTGAAATCATTACAGCAGCCAACTGTGTGAAGGGCATCTTTATTTCCTTCTGGCATACCTGGACTATACCTCAATCAACGCAGGACACATATCTTTGCTTCTCTGACCAGCTCTGATTAACTCAATTGCCCACGTTCATTCAGGCTGTATGGTGTGAGTAGGCTGGTCGCAGGGACCTCCTCTCTGTGTGACCCTTCAGCTGAAGAAATAACATCTGGAAATCAGAGTTGTATTTGAAATAACGTAGAGGGCTTAGCACATACAGTGAAAAGCCACAAGTGTGCATTGTTGCTTTGTTGGTGCATTGTTGCTTTGTTGGAGCCCCTGGAGTTTGTTCCGCAGGGATGGGGTGTGCCCACTTCTTGGTGTGGCCATTGGTCAAGTATGCAAAGTTCATCCCTTTCCAAGAAGACAGCCATCAGGGAAAGGCGGCCACAGCACCAGCCCAGGGAGGCAAGGAAGGAGCAGGGGAGGACACAGGAGCTGTGCAGCTCTCTGGCGTGCATGGGGAGTAAATTGGGGCGTTAAACAAAACCTCTGCTCTCAGCTGGCTGATGTTTCAAAGGAAAACATTTCAAACGCTGAGAGAGATTGTGCAGTTAGCCGGTGATGCAATTACATGGCTGTAAGCTGTAGAAACTCTTTCAATGTGGCACATATTAAACCTTTCAGAGGTAGTGCTTTGATTTTTAATTTTACGCTGTTGGCAGGCAATCAGGGTCTTTAATAGTATGGGGGCCAGAGGGAAAATGTTTCAAAACAGCAAGGATCTTATCATAGTGTGCAATTAATGAATAATTATTAAAAACCAGAAATAGCTAGAAGAGCAGGCAAGAGCTGGCAGTACAATTCTCTGGTTTCAGGCCTGTAATGAAATCTCGAGAGAGGGAAGCATGATATGCAGCTTTGTGCAATTAAAGCTGGGATATTTTCCCCCTGGTTGAAAGATCAGTGATCTTGAAAAAACATACCTGTCACTACTTTGTTTTCAAGTCGTTTAATTGTCGTTAGTAAAAGCTTTAACAAGCATGGTGACGTTCTTCAAGTTGGAGAATTTTTTCCTGATGGGTAGGGATTCAGGTTTGGTTTCTGTTTTTGAGATGGTGGAAAAGAAGTGTGTCAGCATGGTGTGAATGTGCCGGCTGTGGGAAGGGGCTGCAGTGATGGTGCAGGTGAGGAGGAAGGGCTTCACATGCAGATCCAGGGCTGCGATGTGTGATGCTTTGCTGCAGGGAATGGCTTTCTGTGGGGTGCCCAGGGTGTGCCTTTGTGCTGGGATTCTTCCTATTTCAGCAAGGCTGTTGTGCTCTGCTGAGCTGCGGGTCTACCCATGCTGCGTGGCTTTGGCACTGTGCAGCAGCCCTTTAAACCAGTAACTAAATCATACAGCGTGGCTGTGTGCCACCTCTGGTCTTGTTTTTCTAATCCAAAGTGAACTTAGTTTTTGCATTTCCATTTGGTGAGCACAGAAACCTTCCCCCTGGCAGAGGGAGCAGCCTCCTGCTTCGCCCATGAAGCTGCAGAAGAAGCAGATAGGTGGTGTGCCACACTCTTGCCTTGTCACTGATGGCCATTACTTGGGCAGTGACTCGCACGCGAGCTTAAAGATGTATTTGCTGGAGCATCCTGTTCTGTTGAGTACCGAGCTGCATTTGCTCACTGCTGTTTCATTATATATGAGCTAAACACAGAAAAAGTTATTTACAACTATCAGGCATTTCTACATGCAATATTAAGAGAGCTTTTTCCATTAGCTTCAAGAGAGGAGAGCTTGAACTTTATGTGTGTGTGTTTTTTTTTTTTCTTGGCTGCTAACACCCCACATTCAAGTACCCAGTGCAAATCCCAAATCCCAAATTGTGAGCTGCTTGGATCTGCACCGAGCAGGAAATCTGTTGGTTTCTTGGAAGGCTTTCTGGCTTGAGAGCACTTCTGTGTATTTATTTGGACACTTTGCCACAGAGCACGGCAGCATTAAAGAACTCCTCGAGCTGGCAGGTGCTCCAGGAAACCATCAGAGCTCCCAGACACAATGCACTGCAGAACAGCAGCCTGCTGCCCAGACAGGGGGCACTGTGTGCTGGGGCACTGCCCCACATCCGATCAGCAGTCAGGACTCCAACTCCATTGCTGTGCTGGGGCTCTCTGTGCTGCTGTTCTCTTTTCTGGCCTCGGGGTTTTTCTGTTTCCCCTTTTCCTGGCTCTGCTGCCCACCTTGCTCAGATTCAGGCTCTGAGCTGTACTGCTCCTGAGAGGCTCTCAGTCCCCATTGCTGTCCCCATCTCCTGAGCTTTGCATGTTGCAGAGGCACCTGCAGCTGTTGGGCTCATGGCAAAGTGCACTGCAAGGTGCACTCTGCTCCTGAGAACAGGCTGCTGACGGTCATTTGTTCCTGAAACAGGGCAATGCTTTTTTCTCTTTTTTCTCTCTTCTTTCTTCTATCTCTTTCTTTAAGGAAAAACAAGGATCTAATGCATGCACCGTGCAGTTTGGCTTTGTCCTTAACTTGCCGTTGTGCTGGACCTGCTGTAAGGCAGTGCCAGCTTGGCAGTCTCTGAGGAGCTCTGGGGTAAAGTGCTCTCGATTTTGAGACTGTTGTTGCCAGCTTATGCTTTGATTTATCTCTCCTTTCCAGGTGTGGAACTGAAAGTAAGCTGTCAGTGTAAATCACTAATTCAAGTAGAGTGGGAGAGCAGCGCACAGGCTGCATATTTAAGTATCACTTAATGAGGAAAAAAAAAAAAAAAAGCCTTATTCCATCTGCATGTGCAGTGCAAATTTTTTCTCTGAAAATGTTGGATGGGTCAAGTGTCCTTTGGAGTTCCTACTTCTGCTCATCTTGTTACGAGAGCCTCGTGATGGTGCCATGGGGACCAGGTAGGGATGTGGGCTGCCCGAGGCCTGAGCCCAGCCTGCACCAGTGGGAGTGCTGCCCTGCTGAGGGGCTCCTGAGGTGCCATGTGTACAGAACGTGCTGTGAGAATGAAAGAAAGAACTTTCTTTTGAGAAAACACCCAATTTCTGGGTGCCTGTTGTCTTCCTTCCGCAGTTACCCGCACTCCCATTATAAAGTGAAATATCTTGCTTTAGAAAAAGGAGCAAACAAAAAGTAACACTACCTTTTGATTTATTGGTGTGATTTTTTTTTTTTTTTTTTGCAGAGGTCATCTCTAGCAGGCTTCTCTCTTGTTGCTGAAAACATAGCATTGTACGTAAGACTGTCTTGTTCAGATCAATTTGCTAAATTTTCATTTAGTTTCCAAGCGGTTCCTTTTGTCGAGGCTTCATTTTGCTCAGACTGGCAACTCAAGAGGTTTCCTGTAGCTTAGCGAGATTGCTTTTCAATTGGCACATTATTCAGTCATGAAATGTTTCTTTAGTATATGAGCGGGGTTTTATTACAAGTATGAGGCTGAGTGCAGAACAACCACTATTTTGGCCAAATAACGAATGTAAAATTAAGCAGAGCCTTCTTCGTACCCTGCGATGGCTTCCTATGCTGTGTGCTTGGGTTTAAGGACTTACTGAAAACCTCCTGTAGGGTGTAGTAATGTGACTGACTGCACGCAGAATTTAAGCAGTAATGCAGTATATTGTAGAAACACGGGGACATGAGTAAGAAATGAAACCATTTTCCTATTATCAGAAGGTAAAAGCAAGTAATTTTAGACTTCGTGATCAGCTGCTAATTAAATCCATCTTGGGCTGCAGTCAGCACCCGACCCTACGGTGGCACAGGTGCAATTCCTGTGTTGTGCAGCAGCCCTCTTAGATCTGGTTCTGCTCCATGCTGTTGCCTGTTGTTTACTGATGTACATGATTGTTTGTACCTAACTGGAATTAGTTTCCACCTCTGCAGGTCGGTATTTTTTGTGTGTGTCCAATAAAGTTAACTTGGGTAAATGGAAAGCAGTGGGGGAGAAATATCTGTTTCTGAAGATGTCATGGGGTGTTACAGAGAGATGATGCAGATGGAAGATTCTCCCTGCAGATCGTGTGGCAGAGGATCAGGGGACCTTGCGTGTTCCAGCTGCATAAAGGGAAGAGGCTGAGGCTGCTGCCCGTACCCTGGGGCAGATCTCCTGCCTGGCTGTGCTGTGTGGGCTTTGCCACCAGAGGCTGGCTGCCCCGTGTGCCCAGGGACAGGCTGGCTTTGTAGTGGCAGCCATGGTGGTACCAGGTCCTCATCCTTCAGGAGTGAGTCTGTGTTTCCTCTGAGAGAGCCCCTTGTCTTCTGCTCTATGGTTACTGGTTACAGAAGTTTATTGCCAGAGGAGGTGGTTTAGACTTTTTGTTTCAGTCTCTAACTCTTAACTGTTTCTTTCTATTAGCTCTGGGGAGCAAGAGCTGCCCTGTTTAGCAGGTGAAAACTGTACAAAGCTCAAGATGAAGGAATCTGAGAATCCCTTCCAGGGTGGCCTTACCAGGTCTGGGTAGGAAACGTTGTGTCACAGCTCTGGAATGGGGGTAAGAGATGAGAGGCTCCTGGCTGTCTAAACAGGGCAGAACAGTGGCTGAAGCTATATAGGAGTGTTTATTTCTGTGGCAGTATGGGTCAAACCGAGGAGCAGCAGTTGAATTTAAGTTGTGTAGGGAAGTCTCTCAATGCTTATACTTGCTGTGAATGCTGATATTTAGTCATCCATCTTTCACAGTCATATATTTATTACATTTGGGAGGGTAATTGTAAAAGCATTTGCTCCATTGTGGTCCCGTGTGCTCAAAGCTGATGCCTGCTGCATTGGGCTGGGAGAGTGTTCTGTAACTCACTGTAGGGCAGGTTTAGTCCTTGTTAAAATCCCCACATCTTCACTTGCCCCAGAAATCATCCTATTTTGAAAAAACGTACCCTGTGAGATTCACATAAAGAAAGGAACAGCACAGTTTCCTTAAGTTAAAAATCATTATAAGGGGGTTTACTTCCAATGCAGGAAAATGAGCTGATCTCTTCAGTGAGTACTGAGGAGCAAGATGGAGCCTGCACTCACACAGCTGCCTGGCGTTGGGGTGCTCCCTGCACAGCCCTGCGCTGCTCTGACTGTGCAGCACAGCCCCAGGCTGAGCAGTGCTCCAGTAGGTCTGTGACCGGGTGTCTGTCTGTCCACACACTGCCTTGCACAGCACCTTTGCCTTCTCACCTGGCGTGGGGAGGCTTTTAGGCTTTGAATTAGGCTGCTGAAAGGTGGTGATGAGGGTCAGTGCTCTTTGTCTTGCACACTTTTCTTGAGAAGAACTGAGAAAGGTGTTGACATGTCTGCTCTCAGTATGCTTCTCTCAGTGGCACTGAAATGTATGCAGAGTGAGCAGCAGGTGCTGGCAGAGGAGGGCCCTGCTCCTGCAGGATGCTGGGGAGCAGCAGGGCACAGCTGGGGCATTTGCTGCCTTCACTACCATCCATAACTTTGATCACAATTATCCAAGGGAAGCCTGACTTAAAGCTGTAACTGCCTGCTTGTGCCATGGCTGCCTTCCATGCCCTCCGCTAGCACCCAGCTAGGATGTGCTTCCAGGGGTAAAGATGGAATACTGGGGCTTTATCCACCTGCACTTTGGGAACAGCTGCTGTGAGTGGGGAACCTGAGGTGCCCGCTGTCTCTGCTCCTTCCATCAGATAGCAGCCTCCCACTCTGAAGTCTGTCTTTCTATTATCTCCCAGCACAGTTTCTGGGCAAGAAAACTTTCTCAGCTCTCCTGCAGACTGTGCTCTTCCTCAGACCTTAAAGTAAACGGTGCTGGTGACAGGTGGAACTTTGGCTGCTGCTCAGACCACATTTGTTTATTATTTTCCTTCTGAAAAGGAATTGTTCAGAGCAGAAAAACACTTGCTGTTGTCAGAAAGGGAAGGTGGTCGGTGTGCCTGCTCCCTGCATGCAGATTTCGGTGCAGATTTGGAGAGCTGCATGTAATTTCTGTGGCAGTTTGCCTTGGTTTCTGTACTCACTTGGGCTGCTGCACGTAAACCCCAATTGTGTTTGGTTTTTAAAGCAGCTGGCAGTGCTCATCTTGCTACCATTTGTGCTTCAATAATTCCATTTTCATCACACTAGCTATGATGCAAGTTTTCTTCATCTGAGTGCTTTCGGTACAGCAGTCTGCCTTGGAGGTTGGTAGCACCACTCTCGTTTAGGAAGAGCTTTGCTGGTTCCCCTTAAGGCGATTGGTTCCATATAATGCACAGCTCAGTCCCTGGCGGAGCTCGCAGTACCGCGTGGATCTGCTGAGCTGCTGCTTTGTTTCTGTATTTGTATTCTGCAGCGGATTGTTCAATGATTCCTCCTGCTGAACTGCAGTAGATGAGCTGTTTAACGTTGCGATGGTTGGGTTTGTAATGTAAAAACAAAAAAGCTCTCAATTCCAAATTGTGTTTGCTAGTTAGAACGCTGAATTTAAATGAGATTTATATGGAAAATGTATTTTTCCATTGTTTTGCCACTGTAGAAGGAAAACAAGACTTCAGTCTTTCTAAAAGGAAATCAAAGCAACCATGGCAAAAATTTGTTTTGCAAGGAAGAAACATCAATAAAAACTAAGCCCATTGCCTTCTACATTTGTGTCCATATTAGCATTTTTTAAAAATATTTTCTCAGTACAGAAATAACAGCTTCCAACAAGCATGTTTTTTCTGACAGCTGGAATGTTAACATTCTGAAAGATGAGCAATTTAAAGTATATTTATTGTACCACAGTATGTCTTTAGGTGGTGATTTTGTGTCTATTTCCACAGTATTCTTGATCATCTTTCCCCTAAAGTAGCCCTGATTTAAATGTTGTATTTCTACGGGGGAAGCATTAGACCAAATGGAAACAAAGGCCTTTAAAGCTGGCACAGGATATTGGAGCTGTTAGTGATACACCACATGAGGTGGGCACCCCAAGGAAAGGAGAGCACCCCATGTTGATCACTGCTGCAAATGCCACACTGGTATTTACCATCAGTTGTGCCAATGTGGGCACAGTGCTCCCACAGTTCTCCCATCACCAGTGCCCTTGCAGTCGGAATATTGAAGCCAAGGAGCAAGATAAACTCGTATTTGAAATACAAATCTTTGCATGAAGAACAGAAGAAATAACTGCCCTTTCAAGGCAGGAGCTGCGTGACGAGGTGCTGCTGTTGCTGTGGAATGCTATGGTACTGTCTTCATCATGATCTGTAAATATTAACATGAACATGATTTCCACCAGTGATGTGTGAGCAGTGAGCACGTGTCTTCTGAGCACGCACCCTGACTTCAGGCACTGCTTGCATTCAAGCAGAGGCAGCACCTCTGTAATGAGCCTTCCTGCAGTGTTTGTAGCTGTTTGCTGCTGTTTGTGCTGTATGTGATAGTATTAAACAATACTTGAGAATCACAACTTGACCTTGCTAAGAACTGAAGGTAATTGTGAGATATTTTAAGTTGCCAAGAAGTAGAACTGTTATCGCTTGTGTATTGGCTAATTCTATCTATGTTCCCCTGACGACTTGAGATGCTCGTAGCCCATGTAGATGTCTGGGGGAGTCTGGAGGATTTACACCAGCACACAGTCACCTGTGAGATCAGGTATCAAAAGCAGCTGCAGGAGGTTCACAGTTGTGTGATGTTCTTCTCGGTGCACCTGACGGCTCCTGCTCTCAGCAGAAGCTTTTCAGGGATAAAAATAAATTCCCTGCATTGTCACCACTCACATGGATATGGTACTGTTTTAAGGAAGAAAATGTCATTTACAGGAAGAATGCATGCATTGCCTTGGCATATGTGATCCGGAGAGACCATTTATGGTGTCTTCAGCTGGGAGAAAGACAACTCTGTCCTCAACAGTGACATATTTATTGTAACTTTGCAGTTTTATATCATCTATTGCACCGAGGCAGCTTGCTGGTTTGTCTGTGCCCTTCATTTCCTGCATCTTTTTGTGAGACAGTACTGTCCTGATGTCCTGATACCAGTGAGTCACCTGTGAGCACCAGATGGCCCCAGGTCTCTCTGCAGGCTGCAGGAATCCCTGCTGCCAGATGTGGTTTCCAGCTGTGTGACCCAGACCACTGGTTAACTCTCTCAGGCTGCATTTACGAAGCCAGCTGGTTGCTGGTCAGTGCCAACTCATTCCAAGAAGGGCAGAGCACTGTTTGCCAGAGCTTTGTGGAGGTTTGTCTGTGTCCTTTGCTGTGCTCCCTGAATTCCCAGCATAGCTGGGAGTAGAAGCTGGGCCTTATCACTGGGAACTTGATGCTGGCTGTACCTTCTCAAAGCACACCTTGTAGTCACTGCTGGAAGGGGATACTTGGTTTATTACCACCCTCCCTGGCAGAGAAGCGCAAATCTCCAATCTGCAAGTTGAGGATGGAAGGAGCAGAGTTGGTGAATAACTTGAGCTCATACAAAATGTATGTAGCAATGCACGTATCGACTCATTTCGGTGAATATCAAAATTTATTGTCCCTTGAACTAAATATTGACACAGACAAAGCAGTGTCAATATTTATCTCTCAGGTTAATACATTTTTATATTCACCTCAACATCCATCAATATGTGCTTACTTTTACTGTGATGTTTGTCCTTCAGCAAGGAAACTTGCATGTGCATGAGCAAGGGAGGTTTATATTAATGTTCTTTTCCTCTTTTAATCTTCATCAGATGCTTTATCCTGCACATGGAATGCAGCACAGGCCCCACTCAAGCAAATCCCTTATTGATGGTTGTGGCACTGGGCGCAGGGCTGAGCAATTGATTTCTGGATGATGTGACCTGTCACTGACAGAAAGGGCAGCAGAGCCACCTTTGTTTTATAGCCTGCCTGCTCGGTGCCACTGCAATTGAGCCAGATCCGCTCACGGATCCTGAGAGGGAGTGTGGGGCACAGGCTGACAGCTTGAGAACTGCGGGGAATCGCTGCCTACAGAAGGTTGCTCTTAGAGTCTGATGGGGGGCACCGGTGAGTAGGCCAGGCCCTCAGGTTGAACTTGTCTCCTGCCTGTACGTGGGGCACTGTGTCTGAGTGTGGCTGAAATGGTATTTGGGCGTTTTCATTAATACCGTGGCCAAAACAGTGCTATGTTTGGGCAGCACCTGGATGGGGCAGCCCCTGCTGCCATGCAGGCAGCTTCCTTGCTTTCCTTGCTCGGGGATGAGGCAGAGCTGTGGCAACTTCAGTAACAGCTGTTTGAATGCTGACATTTAAGTGGCAATCGTCAGTAGACACGCAGCATATGGCGGCTGGCATGTCACATGCAGCCAACTGCAGGCAGCTGGGAGGCAGTGCTGCATGGAGCTGCGTTGGGGTGCACCTCAGTGACTGCTGTGTGGTGCAGTACGGCGCTAGGCGCTTTCTTACAGCAGGCTGGAGCCACAGCAGAGGAATGGCTTTTGTCCATGCTTACAGTGAAAAGTAAGATTCCCAAGTCCTGGTTAAAATAATGAAGGTACATAAATACATGCCTCAAACCCACCTCCTGAAAATAACATTCTCAATTAGCAATTGAGTCTCTGCTTTTTCTTGTCTGGAATTTGGTGGTGACTGAGCTGCCAACCACCCTGAGCACAGAGGTGGGTAGTTGGGTTTTCAGAGCTGCAGTTAGCAGAATCCCATAGGGAACAAGAGCTTTCTTCGTGCTTAGCATTGCATGGCAATGGTGAACTTACTAGTGAGGGATGGGCTCGTATTCTCATCTCTTGGAAGCTGTTACCTGTGGTGGGAAGATGCTGTGACAAAGGTGTGGGGTGTTCATGCTCTGCTGTGCCTTTGAGTATAAAGGGGTCAAGTGCGTGAGCGTGACACAAGTGCTGAAACAACTCCCTGTGAACCAAGTGCCTGGCTGCCTGCACTTGAGTCATAACTCAGTAACCATATGCCTATATTCCACTGGCAATTGCCATTTAAATGTCAGTTTACAAGCAGATGTTGAAAACCCTCCTTTGTGCTATTGATTAAATTACAGAAAAGCAAAGTTTGAGGCTTAACTCTGCTTGAACCCAAGCAGTGTGTGTGGAGCAGTAGTGGGCGGGCAGTGCTGGGCCTCATAGGCGGATGGGAGCAAGCAGGGGTGACCCCGTCAGCCTCGGGTAATGGCCCATGGCAGTCAGCTGAAGGATGCAGCTGGCGTTTCCTGACAGTATCTTTAGACAACTCCGACGTCTGTGGGCTGGCTGGCAGTGGCTGAGGTGAGAGAAAATGTAGGACTATAAGCCTCTGTTACACAGATTTAAGCACTCAGGTACAGAAAAGACAGAAAAATATATCAGTTCAATAGAAGGACAAGTGAAATGTGGGAGGGTGTGGAAGGAAGCCCTCTCTACCCTACCAGACGTCTGCATGCATTTAAAATCCTTCCCAGTGAAGTTCATAATGAATTTAATTCAGTCCCCTACGGCCCAGAGGAATGTTCAGAGCAATAAAAAGTATTGCTAAGGGAGAGATGGCTGCCAAGCTCCTGTGCTGTGCCAGCGATGCTTATTTATTATTGGCACTTAGCGCTACGTTTATTTTACTACTTAAATGGTCCTTTGTCACATATTAAGAATTAATACTATAAGATGCACTTTTGGGAAGTTACAATAACAATTCCCAAACTTAAATTGTTGTATTTGTACACTTTAAAAGACTTTGTCTTATTTTTCTTTTTAGACTAAACTATTAATTGAATGTGGCATTTTCTGTCTTTGGCTTAGCTATGTAAGTGGGTTTAGCCAAGCCATGTCTACTTATGGTAGTTGTTGTTACACTGGAACATCAGCATCACAGTTACATGAATTATAAGCTCAAACACTTACTTACAGGTGGAGATGCTGTCACTTACGCAGTCACCAGATAACACCGGGGCTCCTGGGCTCTGTAGGCACGGTCTGGTGCCTTTCTGAAGATTAAATTGAGTGATTCAAATGTGTGCTGGAAATTTCAGGCACAAGGGGTGGAGGTCGTTTGAACAAAACATTACTTTGTATATAAACATTACTCCAGGGGACAATTTCTGCTGTCACCTAGGCTGTCACTTTAACACAAAGTCAGGAAAGTGGAAAAGAGTATGGATGTAGGAGTTGTTTTCACTTTAATAAGAAGGAGCGGAAGGGAAAGTTGAAGATGAGATGAAAAGAGTTTAATTCCTAATGCACAGCAACTTCTGGGGGATAATGCACATGTACCGATACAAGATGCACTCTGATTTACATTCAAGTTGAGACGAAGTGGTTTAAGCACCTTCTGCTCATTACATTGCAAGACTAAAATCTATATAGCCTGTGTACGAGTTCAACTTGATTGCAGCAATAATTCAGTCAAAATATTTACTGTGCTAAGGTCTGAATGTAAAGCTTTTCTTTCGCTGCACTTGGGCTTACTTCTTCATACTTGGAAGTATGAACAGCTGGAAAAAATAATGGGAATTTGTCAGCAAGTTTACTTACATGGTGCATCTCGTTTTAAGCAGTACATGCTTGTTATTTTTCCAGGTGTAAAAATTCACCATTACTTACTTATTATTCCTGGCAAGAGATGAGGTTCTACAGACTTCTGCTTCCCAAAGCTGGAGCTTCTCCACACCGTGCAAGGGCACCAGCAGCTCATTTTTCACTTGCTGTACACACAGCAAAACATTCGATCGCAGAACAAAAGCGTCTGAAGGATATAAGGGGGAAGCTCAGACATTTGGCAGTTTGGACTAAAAAGAAAAGTCAATGACAAAGAATTCAGATACAAGTGAAAAATGAGACTTCCTAGTGCACTGCATTTGAGTTTGCATGCACTGTTTGCTGACAGCTTTTCACAGCATCAGTCACAATTTAGGGAACTATTAATCAGCATGATGAAATATACTTTTTCCAACAAAAAAATTTACACAATAGAACTGATTTTCTTTTCCCTTGAAGGATACCATCCGGTAAGCACAAAGACAACAAATCAAGGTCTGTAAAATTCTTGCCCAATTTTAAGCTGCACAGGAGAAAACACTCAGTGCAGTCACTGCTCAGGGCTTCTTGTTCTCTGCTGGCCCATGCCAGGACTGCTGTCTGTGTATTTGTTCTGCTGACAGCAGAGAAAAAAGCACAGAAAAGATTTGCAGGAGTAATAAACAGTTCAGATTAACTGATGGCAGAGATGCTCCAGAAGTCAGAGAAGAGTCAGCCAAGCAGAGAGGCACAGCATCGCTAAGAACAGGGATGAGAACACAGACCCATGACCGTGGCTGTAAGAGGAGTTAGCAGAAATAGCAAAGGGCATTGTCACACACCTACTGAAAACAAGTTGCCTGGCCTCCTCCCTGCCCATCCATTACTCCATGGCTGTGTTTTTCAGGTACTTCTCCATCAAAACCACTGTGACATCAAGTGATTATGGAAGCAAATGATCAAAAAGATGACCTTTATTTGGGAACTGTCATACAATGAGATCATATGTTGTTGTTTTTTTAAAGTAACTATGGCTTTCATTAAGAATTTTTTTTTTTTTTTACCCCCAATCAAAATGGTGGTGGTGGAGAGAACCAGGACACAGCCTCCTAAGTACTGGCAGTTTCAGAGTTACAAAAAAAATTGCTTCTCTTTTCTGTCCTCCCTTCCCCTTATATTCATGACTTCTCACTCGTAAGACAAGTGCATAATATACTATTTCAGAATTGCCTTCCTAGTGATCTTTTTAATGACATTCTGGACAGGTAAGAATTAAAATGTTTCTGTGCTTCTGTTGGGAAAGGAGGCAAGACGCTGGAGGAGATAAACAGCATAACAAGTGTCTGTGGAAAGTGTAAACCATTCACCACTGAGATATTCTCTACTACTTTGTGCCCCTGCAGCAGGGAAGCCAACCTGCAGTTTCCACTCCTTCTTAAGCACTCAGATAAGGCACGTTTCCTGCAAAGAGAAAAACAAAGTGGAAGCAGTAAACTTGTGATCATGTTTTGTTTCAGAAGCTTCAGGGGGAAGTGTTGAGGAGAAATCGTTTTGTCTCCCTTGCATTTTAAGTGAAGTGTCGGGATGCCCAGCGTGTGCCCATGCTGAGCAGCAGCACCATCCCTGCTCAGGCACCTGCGCACAGCACTCACCTGTCCCTCCAGGGCCAATGGTGCCATCACTGCTATAGCACTCCTGGCCGTGGAGGTGGAGCTCTCAGACTTCCAACACTGAAGTCATCCCCTTTCTAATGTCGTTAGTGGTGCAGCAGCGTGTATTTATATTTACATATAAATACAAAATGATCAGATACCGCATTTTTGAGCAGAATTTATAATCTGAAACCACTTACATTTCTGTGACCAGGCTGGGGTTTTTCTCATTTACATTCATAATTTAATTCCACTGGAATTCCATTCTTAAGAAAGTCCAACATATCTTAATTACCATAAAAAGATCCATACATACTTTACTTAAAAATATCTTCTGTAAGAGGAAATTTACCAAAAATAACACCAAATATATTATTATGCATACAGTTTTTGTTTTTTTGTTTTTTTTTTTGTCAAGTACAAACAAGAATCTGATCTCTTCTGGGTATTGCCTGATCTTATATGGCTATCGGTTCTATTTATTTTGTTTGCTTTTCCAAAGTAAAGGGAAAAACATAAGAAATGTAGGAATGCAGAGCAAACCGAATATCCATTCTTTCCAAAGATACAGGTATTGATGAAAGAACATGGAAAATAAATGAATGACAACAGGTACAAAGGACCACTATCCAAGCACTGTGCAGTCTTTTGTCGTAGCATTTTATACGCTGCAATGACCTTGTAAGTTATCAAAACAACCAAAAAATGCTGCTGGCAGAAAAAGCTGTTAAGCAAAACACTGAAAAATTGATATTATTTCCTAACAAGTAAGTGCAGAACTGATATTTAATACCGTATGTCTCCCCCCCACCCAAGTATTCACACTTCTCCCTCTTTTTGTTCACAGGACTGATTGTTGCAACCCTGGCAATATGCTGGATGCCAAACCAGATTAGAAGGATCATGGCTGCTGCTAAACCAAAGCAGGACTGGACTGTCCCCTACTTCAGGGCTTACATCATTCTTCTTCCCATTGCTGATATTTTCTTCTACCTCAGTTCTGTGGTGAACCCCCTGCTGTACACTATCTCTTCTCAGCAGTTCCGCAGTGTGTTTCTGCAGGTCCTCCGCTGCCACCTGACGATAGAGCATGCCAACAAAGAGAAGTTTCTCAGAGCCAACCTGAGCTCTAGAGCAAGGAGCAGCCGGTCTCTACGCCCGCTGCTCTTCATTTCCTCCAAGCGCAGCTCTTCCACAAGGAGCAATAGCAAAGGTTTAAGTACTTTTCAGAATGAGGCCAACCCTGACTGCAGTCTGCAGAAGCCAGATCTTGAATTGCAGGAGCACAGCTTGGAAGTAGTGCCACTAGAGACGAGCTCAAAGCCTGGCCCAGATGCACAGAATGGCCTTTGTGAACGTGAAGTATGACTTCATAAGGCAGTGGGCAGCAATGAACATCAAAACATGTGAACTAAAGTGGCCGAGGACTTGACTACATCTTAACAACACAATGGATTTGTTTCCAGTTATGCAAAAAGAACAGGAGTTCTGTATCCTGCTGTTGAATTTCCAGTGTGCACTTAAAAATCTCAATCTGCTAACAGAATTCACAGAATCACACAACCACAGAAAATTGTAGGGGTTGGAAGGGACCTCTAGAGATCATTGAGTCCAACCCCCCTGCTCAGTCAGGCTCCCTACAGCAGGTCACAAAGGAAAGCATCCAAGTGGGTCTTGAATATCTCCAGAGGAGACTCCACAACCTCTCCAGGCAGCCTGTTCCAGTGCTCCAAAGTAAAGTTCTTCCTTGCATTAGGATGGAACTTCCTGTTTTCGGGATTCTGCATTAGCTGCCAGAAGTATCAGCCTCTTTCCCCACAACCACTGAACTTCCCTCGCTGTTGATAGAGACTTAAAAACAAATAGAAAATAATTGCAGTGTCTTTGAAGAAAGGAGGAGACAGAACAAATTGCGTCAGGACAAGAAACTCGTTGAAATTTAGCGATACAAAAACAAGAGAGAGAATTTAAGGAGCAGAGCGGTGGTTATCATGTGTGCCCTCAGTTTCACACCAGAATTCCCCCTCTTCTTGGGACGGGGTCCATTGCAGAGCGGAGTGTTGCAGCAGCTGATGCACACAGAGTTCACTTTCCCTGGAGAGCAAAAAGATTGGTATCCAGCAGAAGCTATGAGACACGCTGCTGAAGATGCGCAGGATTTGCGATACATGATTCCTACGGCACAGAACAAAGGTTACTTAGCTTGACATGAACATAGCTTTCCTTTATGATTCATACTTGAAAACTCTTGCAAAACAGTTTATGTTTTCAAAGCAATGCTGGTGATTAAGCCACACACCTTGGCTATGATATAGCTAACAGCTCTGCACTACAGGAGAACCACGGCCACCACATTTGGCATTTTTCTTTTATTTGATTCTGGTTGGAACCAACAAACAACTACAAATGTGATTCACATAATGTATATCAAAACATCTCTTTTATAACAGAATTTTTCATCTTTTGGAACATGCTGTTTGAATAGCTACAACTGGAATGCAGTAAATTCTAAAGTTATTTCTATTGTTGAACATCTGAATGAAGGTGTCTGAATAATTACAGTTTTCTGTGTTGTTAATTTGTATTTTGGTCATTTTTTTTTCTCCTTGCTGCTGTTACTCAGACAAGTTACCAACAGAAAAGGAGGCTGACTATCAGTACTTTTCCAGGTGGTCTCAGTTCTTACTCTTTGAGGTTGAGTAGTTCAACAAAAGTTTGTTTTGACTGAAATGGCTTTCCTGAGTTGAAAGCCTTATTTATAAAAGCAATTTAATATACATAGAAAGGAAATCTGCCAGTATTGTCTTGTGTTTACAAAAAAAAAGAGACATTTTTAAGGATAATATAAAACACGATTCCTTTAGAACAATGGATTCTCAAAATGATTTCTTTTCCCTCTTAAAGGGCATGGACCAGGACTTCCTCAGACAACAGTGCCTCCCTTTCCTGAAGTGTGGTTGTGCTGTTCCACCAAGTTCTTAAATACAGTGGTTTAGACTTCAAAGGAACAACTGAAGAATAAAACCCATGGGTACTGAACTTGCACTTCCTTCAGGGGGACTTCAGAGAGGGGACTGTGGAAACAAATAGTGCAGCACACTGCAGTAGATATTTCTGCAATAGCAACTGCCACCACACTACTAAGTGCTTTGTGTAGCAGCAAAATACCATTTATTTGGGTTATGCTCAAAAAGAAACATTTCCTGTCTTCAGACAATTTTAATTAAAGCAGTTCTTTTGTATTGTCACAATATTGCTGCATCCAGACATAACACTTCCCTGTGTTGCGTTCTCCCTCCTGCCCCAAATTCAAACTCTGAAACATGTTTTAGGGCTGTCAAGTTAAACGTACAAAGAGACGCCCTCAAGACAGCATTAAATCTTTCTTGGTGGGCATAGCACTTCAATCAATCAACACAGCAGGTGGAGTCTTTCCTCAAGAAGGGAGAGGACCTGCACACTGCTCTAACAGTAGCAGCAAAGGCACAGCGATCAAGAGGCACAATCTTTATTGTTAGAATTTGCAAAAGGAAGAGAGTTGTGTCTGCTGACAAACCACTGCCAAAGGGCCTCAGCTGTGCTGCCAATAGGCTCACCTTTCCCACAAAGATCCAGCACTTTGTCCAAAGTCTTCTGATAGCTGAGACAGACATGAACCTCCTTGTGGCTGTGATCAACTCTTTTCTCCCCCTTTCTCTCCAGAGAAAGGAACTCAGTGGAATTAAGCACAGTGATTGCTTTCCCACCTCTAATCCAGCACCTCATCTTCTGTTCCTTCCCTACAACTAAATACCCACCTAACTCAGCCATTCCACATCTTCCGCATGAGCAGCAAGTCTTGGTTCTCTCCTGATCAAGCCTGCAAAAAGCTTTTGACATTGGCAGATCTCCTACTCCTATTGTTTTATGCATCACTCTATTCCTGCCGTTTCCTTTTCACAGGAAAGGCCCTTCTCACAATACTAAGTGATTTATTGAAGTCCCTGTGGTATCATATACTTTGCAATATTCAGCAGGCCAGGCAATGAGAATCACTCAGTGAACAATTAGATAATGCACTCTGACGCACTGTGTTCACCAGACAGATCCAGGAGGCCTCTCCTGCAATAATCCAACTCCTGCAACGTAACTGTGCATTTACAGCAGCTCCGTTCTCCAGGATAGATTCCACAGCATAATCCTGAGCTCTTTTTGAAGTCAAAACCCAATGTTCCTGCAAAGATCAGTGTTTTGTGGCTTCAGCATTGGGGTTTCATGCACAGATGGACTGTATTCATGCCTAAATAGAGAAAGTAATCTAACTAGTAATAAAATCATATTGTAATGCTTCTCGTGTCTTTTCTGTAAGATATTTCTTCCAATTGGGAATTCCACTCACCAATGATTGTTTAGTCCCATTTCTAGATCTAATAATCCAAATTGTAACAAATTACTTCCATAAAAAAGTCTGCACCATCAGTTTTTTGATAGCTGTGTGGCTGAGACATGCCCTCCACATCCTAGTTTTTTCCTTTAAGTACTGATGGATCCTTTTGAGCTCACAAATCAACTGTCATTATACACTAATTATGCTTCCTAGAATTTATGAGGCATTGGGCATGAACTAAACTTGATCAGAATGAAATGGCTGTGCTTTTCCTGTAGTTCTGCTGTACCTTTAAGGCAAGATATAATGAAAACAGGCATAGAAGATTAATGAGAGAAAAGACAACATTGCAAGAATGACATTTTTAAAACACTGCAGCCACAGTTTCACATATATGTATATTTTACTGTGAGTGTGAAAGGAATAGGAATCTAAGTAATATGAAATAAGTAAAGGCAGAAAATACTTTTAAACCTTCTTCCCACCATATTATGATTTCAGTTTAGTTGTGGTAGAAAATCAGTTGACATAACTGGCTTCTCTGATTCTGTGCCAGAAACACTATCCTCACTCCAGCAGCAGGTTAATACATCCCAGCTACTGCTGTCCATCCCCCTGAGCTCGGCAGGATGTCAGCATCCTTTCTGTATTATCTCTAGATTAATTACTTTTATATCTCAAGGATTTCCTTACTGATACTGTGCTCTTGCAGGGTTTTATGGTAGTGCTGATCCAGTTCTGAAACTATTTCTGAGATCTTCCAAAACCATTTGCCACCAGCAGCCTGAATGGCAGGCAGTGCTTCAAAGTGGTTATCTGCTTCATGAGGCTCATACTACAGATATAACCACTAATTACTTGATATTCCTGCTTGAGCAATCAGCTTGATATCTTCATTAATGCATCACCTAGAAATATAGTTGTCAAGCTTTTTAAAGAGCGTCTCTTCTACCTCAGTGTTCTGAATTGCTGACTAGGCAAGGAGACTTTACATTTTACACTTTGCTTTTACATTGCAGGCTACCTACTCTCAACTACCACATTTGCACTCAGTCTCTTGATGGCTGAGTACTGATTAACTCAGCCTTTCTCACCAATTTAGCAAGGCCCTGACAACAGTGTGGCTATGTATTTGTGTGTGTACTATAAAGATGTTTTACTATGAAATATCTACTACTGTCAGAATAATTTTCCTTCCTTTCAGCCTCAAGGTTTGTGAAGTTGGCTCAAGATGTATTTTAAATATGAAGAAGCTAGGGAATTAGACTAGGTTAGAGTATCTGTGCAACAATGCAGTCATATTCCATTCCCTTCTCTTGTATCACATGCGCCTACTGTTAAGTGCATTAAAATGAACAAAAAAAAAATCCAACACTGAGGTTAAACCAAGCACTGATGTTTAACTCCTAAGTTAAGCAACTTGGCCAACCTTAGCCTCCTGTCTGTTCTGCATGACCATACACTTTGAAAGCATCAAGGTCTAAGCCATCTTCCTGTAAGATTTCTGCCCTATTTTATACACTTCAGTGATGAAAATAGAAGTCTGCAGGCCTTTTCATAGCTCCTTTCTAGTACTGATTTTCCTATCTACATCCACACTACAGACACACACCCAAGAATTGTGGCATAACTGTTTAACCACTGCTTAGTTCTGTGCATCCACACCCTGGTCCTCAGCTTTAGCCATATGCAGATGATGGCACCAAACAATTCAGACTACAATTTACTCAGTTCTTCTGACTACCCTGTCTGCAAAGCCCAGTATACATCCTCTAAACACTGAGTAACAGCTAAACATATCTCTGGAACAACCAAAAGAGCTGACATCACACCTAGTTCTTAGACCATATGCAAAAAGCACCTGAATACCCAAACATTTTTTCTTAGTGCTTTTAAAAAGGGACTTACTATGCACCTCAAACTCTTCTTTTGTAGAAGGTACAGAGAAAAAGGAGCAAACCTCTGCAGTCAAAAAGCCCACCATAATCTTGCAAACAGCTTTGTTTGGCACCCATACTCTCAAGACTCCTTCAGTCAAACACATACAATCTCTGAAGCCAAAATAAGATACAATTCAAAGATTCATTTCCAAAAAAGACAGTCACCTGCCCACTTGGAGACCCAACAAGTCGTAAACTATTTCCTGAACAGGTACGTTTCAGCAGGAAGCTGCGGTACTTTTATTATCACAGAACTGACTATGGCCACAAACCTCTTAGCTGCAAGTTTAACTCGCATCAAAGTAGGTGATGATGTTTAGCCCAACGCAAACATTTCCTAGCCAAATGTTCTGTATAATGAATGAGACTAGCAACTCCCACCAGAAAAAAGCAGAAGTAAAACAAAAACATCTACAAACGCAAACAATAAAAAAAAAGCCCCCAAACATTTGCTACAGTGTTTATACATATCCAGCTTTGTAGGCATAAAGCCGTATTCGTCTTCTGCAATGCCTTCCACACATTCTGTGTATAGTCCCAGCATGCCTGCTGCATCAGACAGAACATTCTGGAGCACGAAAAAAAACTTCAGGTCCTGTGAAGGTCCAAGTAGACGTCCTTGAGCAGTCACAAAGTCCCCTTGTCAGGTTTGGAGTAGGAGTTGTGGATATACACAGAGACACAGCCTCAAGCATGTAGGGAAGGTCTACATTTTGAATAACTTAAGAAGTTCACAGGATCAGCAATTTTTGAGATGTGCCATTATAATGCCATTAGAACTTGGGCAGTATTTCTCCCCACAAATCTTTTAGGTATAGTGTTTATCTTTGCCCACTTCCTCCAGGAAGAAAAAGAAGGTAGAAAGATGG